CATTCTCAAAAGATAATTTCAGAAACTAAGATTTTAATTTTTCTTTTTTTTTAAGTTGCAATACTTATAATGTAGAGACAGTAACTAGCAACTCTCTTAGAAGTTAAATGTAAATTTTCAATGATCCTTCCAAAAACCCATGGTAGGTCCACTATACATATCGAAGGCACAATTGTTTTATTCTTTTTATTGACAGATTTTAATATGCTAATAAATATAGCAGACTGTAAAGATGATACAGGAGAACCAAGTGATGCACATGCAGTGATACCTGAAAGTAAATGCACTTTAAACACAGTGATAAAACAAACACTTATAAATTGGTTCATTCAGGTCTAATTTGTACTGCCCTAATTAACTGGACACTGTCCCTGACAGGAATTTTTTTTTTTTTTTAGAAGGGAAAATTCTATTTTTTTCTCATATTTGCCACCTTGAAATCTGAGAAACACCCATTGGCAGAAACATGCAGTTAATATTACCCTGAAAAATAAAAGCCACAATGAATGGAAGCACTGCCTTGTTAATACCTAGAGGACACTGATTTTATTACACCTCTTATCTCTTGTTTGTAACATATTTTGACTATATAGAACTGTGCTTTTATTTGTTTATTTTTTTTACCTGTGATTTCTATCTTGCAGATGTGTAAAATACATTTGTCATCTCTCACATTACATCCAGGTGTCTGATTTCAAGTTCTCCTATTCTGGTATGCCTCCCGTCTGTCTTGTATTGCAAAGTTATGTGAAGACTTTAAATTCCTCGTATCCAGTGTTCTTCTCAGATTTCAGTAGCAGAAAAAATATTCTCAAAGCCATAAGACTATTTCTAGGTAAACTTTAAACTAAGATACCTCAGCAAGTGGGAACTGCAAAATTTAATTACTTATAATATTACATAATTTTCTTATCAGAAAAGGATAACCATTCACTGGCAAATAGATATGATCAAAATAAACTTGAATAGCAACATATTTGTAGATTTTTTTCAAAGGCTATCTTGTTTAAATAATCTTCAGGAATTCCTTCACAATGCAAGTAGAATGAAATGCCTGATTTCCTGCAAGTTTTTGCTTACACTTTTAAATAAAACTGATTCATTACTGCTTTTTACTTGTTTATGTACATTTACTATAGATATTCAAATAAGAGATATATTTATGCTCAAAGGTAAAAAGGGACTAAAAGCATGTGGTCTTACCTCTGCTTTCCTTTCCTGTATAAATTTGATTAAACTCGTATGGATTTCTTGCAGGTATCTGACTCCAAAAAAAGCTGTGGGCATTATGTGCAAAATTAGGAAAAGGCTGCCAAAGTGCTTTAAGGCTCCACATCCCAGTCTTAGTTTTCATCTTCTGAAATGTGACGACAACTTTGGAGGAATAAAATATTCAAGACAGTGAAGAGTTTTGTCACTTGAGTAGCAGGGCTAGGGGTAGAGAACTTAAAGATACATGTGAACCCATCCTGAATTTGGGTTCTGTCAGCTCTAACAGCCAGGACTCTCTACCAGACTGCAGGGAAAAGTTATGCTGAACTCCCATCCTCAGCCAGTTGAAAATCTACAGGGCTATTTTCTATTACTTGTGCGGCTTGCATTTAAATTGTTCTCACCTGGAGGGAGAGGAGCTTTGGGGAGGCGCTCCAAAACTCACTCTCTGCAACTGCTGCTACTGGACAGTGCGTCTTCCCTCTCCCCCATTATCCTCCCACAACTAACAGTCTTTTAAGCCTTGGTTCTGACCAGACTTTTCTTGACAGTTTGCTGGATTTATTTTCTTCACATAGCAGTAATGCCATGATACGTCATGGATAAGCCCTGTTCTCTCATACAGTTGACTCCTGATGACAGATAATCAAATGCAGACTCAAAATTCCATGTAATTACACAGGGGTAATTTCCCAGTAAAACACAATTTCAGATAAACAAAAAAGGCTGTGATGATATAGGATTCAAGTATAAGAAACTGCACCAATGAATGCATAAACTGCTTTTAGTTAATGGCTGGACATGACCCAGTTCAAAGGCTCAGGAGCATCCATTTCTTGTAGCTCAAACACCTGGACTGTCCGTGAGACTGCACACTGAATGAGACACAGTTGCTCACTGCAGTTGTTAGAAGGAATTTGTTTGATGTGAACTCTAAAAATAAGGAAATCCCAAACTAACTCTTTTTACAGGTTTCCTGTGATAACTGGCAACCTATGATGTTTAACACAATGTACTTTAACTGTGGCACGGTGAAAAGAATTCCTGAGATTCCTGACAATGGCAGCTGGTTATACTTAAGAAAGAAACACATCTTGTTCTTGTTATTCACCACTAACTCTGGGGAGGAAGACAGCATCTTTCATACACTTACAATTGGTTCAAAATTAAATTCCTGGGAATCAAAACCACTGAATAACTTATGTCAATGTCTGACAAGGTAAAGCAATGTATGAAGGATACAGTCCTACTTTTAAAATTAATCATCCTTAAACAAAACAAAAAAATTTGATGGCATACTGGTCTCCCAGAGACTGTTAGTGTTCTACAACAAAGAGAAAATTATAGGATTTTTAAATAGTTTATAACTATCAGGGAAAAATCCATCTGGGGGGGAAAACAAAATCAAACCATCACACAACAAAAACATCCCAACTTTTACCTCTGACTTTGGCAACCCCTCAGCTGGACCTTCACAACTTTGGATTTAGGAAGTCAGAGGTATTATGTGAAATGCAGCAACCCACAAGCAGCAATAAGGTCTTAGGGACATGTGCAGACTTGTCTAAAGGTGTCAAAGAAATCAAATCCCAGAAGTGTAGGCAACCAGGGTCAAGGACAAAGGGAGTTTACAACTTCAGCATGTGTCAAGCTTGCTCATCAAGTTAATACTTTCTCCAATTAACTTTTCTCCTATAGATCTTCTGCAAGAAATGGTCCCTCCACTATCAAGGATAGTTTCTGAATTTGTGAAACCCTGTGACAGTCACCCTCACCAAGCCTTGCTGTGCCTTTAGAGTCTATTTTGTGATCTTGTGATGTATGGAAAACACATAGAAAATGTGGTTCAGGCCCAGCCTGCCTAAAACATATCCGTGCCTTTAGGGCTGGCTGCTGGCTTGTGGAAGTCACAGCAGGCAGATTACATGTAGAAATGTAACAATAAAAAATTAAAATAATGAAGTAATAAATTCTAGTCTTACTGCAGTAAAGTATTTGAAAAGTAAACAACATACAAAGTATGAATATCACTGGATGATCTGGACATAATTTATAATTAACTTCTTGCTAGCAGCACCGCCATATAAAATGAGACACCATCCAACACATTCAAGACAATATTGTTGTACACCCTAAAAGTAAGCATTATAAACATAGTTATTCTCAGAATAATTAAATCAAAGTTTCACAGGCACTTTGGGCAAGTTTGTGATAACATTTCAACTAAATATAGTGACCAATTTTAACTAAACATTTGTTTAACATATTGTGCAATACAGATTTGATAGTAGTTTGGACCTGTAATCTTGGTATTTTTCATTAGTCTGTAACCTTTCCAATGCCATTTATCTAAACTATGTAAGCATTAAGTCTGTAGGACTATGACCAGTATACCAAGGTAAAGTCTGTTAGAAAAAAACATTAGTTTCTTTATTAAAAACTTCTTTGAAATGTGCTGTAATTTCTAAACATTCCTCAGGAATGCAATTATTTTTCAGTGCCATGAATTTCAATTAAACTACTTTCAAATACTGTATGAGGGCAAAAGTGTTCAAGAACTTCAAGAAGAGTAGTAATAAACTGCATTAATAAACTTGCAGTAATAACCTGAGCAGAGGCCTCTGATTGTAAAATACAGCCAGTTGACCAGACCAGATTGCCTGGACATTGGGGAGTATCTACTGCTGGTAGTTGTCTAGAGCAGGTGTATGCCAAATTACCACCGCAGGTAAAACAGGATCCAGGACACATGGAGGTGGAGCTGACCCTGCCTTATAACAGGAGTTTCTATTTGCCTTACACTCCAGGATTGTCTTTCCTTGGCCTTATCCCTTTTCTGTATTTAGCTTTCAGCTCATTCTAAAAGCCTCAGCCACTCTTATTCTCCAGAAAGCACACAGAATGACATAATGAACTTTTGTAATACTCCTAATCTGCATGTGCATTATTTTCTCTCACTTGCCTCTTCCTTATGTTTTAGGGGGCCATACACTCCGTGTGCATGCATGGACACGTGTAAATTCTAAGCTCAAGAAGATCCCACTCCTGATTAACCTTAAAATGATCTCAAAATTAATGTTTGGTGACACACGCTCCCTAATCAAGTTGTATGGGTACATTTCACAATGTCATCTCACAGCTATGACGTGGTGGGCAATAGCTGAGACTGTACAGTACACAGAGGTGACACATTTCTTTCCAAAATAAAAGCATGAGTAAATATCTAATACCAACACTAACTTAAATTATGTCATCAGTTTGGAAGAGGAAATTGCTCCACAGATTAATGAGGAATTCTACATGGAAGTCAAAGGTATGATGTAAGTCTTATAGCATTAATCAAGAGCTAAATATGATCTGACCTACTTCAAACAGCCCAGCCTTTAAGAGAGAGAGAAGATAAAAAACCAGGCAGAGTATGAGAGTCCATATTTATCTCTGATGTAACACCAACAAATCCAACAGAATTCCTTGAAGTTCAGTGTGCCTCAGAGCACCACATGGCAAGTGCCATGGGTCATCCTGTAATCTGCAAGGTATGATGGATTGAAAAAGCAATGACATTTTCCATTCCTATTTAGGAAACATTATACTAAGAAATAAGATATCATGGGACGATATCTCAGAAAAGCATTTATTTCTAAGCAACAATGGGTGTACCAATTCACTAGACAGTTTCACAAATTCAAATATGAACACGCTCTAGGGAGTCCTCTGGAATGAACAAATCACAGGGTTTCCTAGAAAATCTGATTTTTTTCTATATTGTACACACTAAACATAATTATGCTGTACATAACTCTATTGAAAAAATGAAGAAATTAAATCGGTTATATTCTATTTTCTCAAAGCACTAAAACTTGGATATCAGTCATCCATCTGATCAAGTCAGACTAACTGTACTGATCCCCAGACATAGTGATTCCCTCTTCCTAAGTGCTGACACCAAACACGATAGTGTTCCCAGGCCCCCCTGAAGGTACATTCTAAAGAGAGAGACATTAATAGATAATGACTGGGAAGAGAACACATAAATAGCTTTTAAAAAATTAACAAACCTCGATTTCTTTGGACACATGAGCAATAAGAAAAAGTATCTTTTTAGGAAGTACCTCTAAAAATTCCTCAGTCATAAATTGCTTCTGGCCTCACACTCCATGACATGGGCCACTATTTTCTTGTGATGATGAGGAGTGTCCTCTCGGGCCAAAGTTCCTAGCCACTAACAGCCCTTCACATTTAGCATTTTCAGTCACTCTGATCAGGATCTCTAACCCAAGTGCTGCATTTCCAAAAGAACAAGACCCTTGCCAACAAACTGGGAATTCAGCAGTTGGGGGAAGGGGGGAACTGAAGGAGCTGTTACTTTCCCACTATTTCCAGCACAGGTCTGTGTCACACTGTTTGCATCATGCATCATTCATCTGCTGTGATGAAATGTAACCCTGCATTTTAAAAAAAGACCTCTGCAACAGTGAGGATACTATATCTTTGTGAGAAGCATTTCACATATTTTCCATGGGCATCAACTGCTCCTGCGACTATTTAAATCTCTGTGGCCCTCTTCAGAGGGCATTATTCACTTTAGGAAGACCATTCAGAAGGTGCTGAGCATAAGAAGGGGAGAAGCCAGGATGGCAGCAGACAGCAACATGGCTCCTGAAGAAAAGCCGAGCACAGCTCCTGTGAAAAGGGCTGTCCACAAGATCCGAATGGCCAGCCAGGTCTTCAGCTTGGCACGAGGCTGGCAGCAGTGGGCATCTGACCACCATGTAAAGCAAGAGCAAGAGCCCTCTGGATGGGTCCCTGCTGCAGTAAGCTCATCAGCTCAGCCTGTACAAGAAAGTTCCTTTGAAAAATGGCAAATTCCATCTGTCAAGAGGGACCAAGAAAAAGATGATGAAAAATCCTTAGCAAAGGAATTGGTGACAATAACAGATGCTGAAAAAAAATCAAGGGAATCGGATGAAGACCTCAAAACGTTCAGCATTAAAAGCAAAGAGGTGACCAAAACAGTCGTCAGCAAAGCCTATGAACGAGGGGGTGATGTCAGCCTCCTCAGTGAAAGATATGAGAACAACAGCAGTCCTGAGATGACCAAACTCAAAGAAGAATCAAGTGCTATTGACAAAATTCTTAGTGACAAATTACCTTCAGCCATAAGAAGGAAGTGTTCAAATGTGGTATCGGAGCTGACCAAGGGCTGGGAGAAGATGGAAGAGGACAAAGATGGGGACAAGGGAGAGCTGTTGCTTAAGTGTCGTGATGACAGCCTGGATGCCCAGGACAGTGGCTATGGGGAAGCAGAGGACAAGCTCGAGCAGGAAGACAGCGACCGGGAGGTGACAGCTGTGAGGATTAAACGGCCTGCCCCATCTCTGTGAGTAAATCATCATCTTCATTGCATCAACACAAATGGCAGAGGGGTACAGCTTTCCATGAGGAAAATGGGAGGAGGGGGGAATAGCAGGAAGTAGTCAAAGATAAACTATTACTCTTGACTTAGAAGAAATTAATCAAAATTCAGGAGACCTTTCACATATCACTCTGTGCTTAAGCAGTTAACAATACTGGACTATATATCTAATACAAAATGTCAGGAAGACATTTTATATACTTGGGAGATATTAAATATATTTAATTTTCACACTGGACTTACCAGTTCATCAAAGTAACTACTTACTTCTTCAGTAAGTACTTCAGCCCATATTTCAGAATCACAACTTTAACCTCATCAGAAACTTTCAGCTATTCATTTATTTCAGCAAATGTTGTCTAAATCAATATATTTGACAAGTAATATTTCCAAGTACTTATTCATTATTTTGCTTAGTATAAATTGTAAATATTTTCAGGAGCAATTTAAAGAAAATGTCCCAAATTAATTTTACAGGAATTACTTTCACATACTTCTTACCAAAAGTTGGGTTCACTGCTTCTCTTTGGAAGCTTTCCATGTATTTGGAATAGTTCATCAGTTCAAAGAAAGGAAAATTACACAATATCTTGGACTCCAAGTTCACACCATATGTCAATCACATTTTCAAAAATTAGAAACTGGATCAGCACCAATGATGAAAAACTGATTAAAATGCCAGAACAGACTTTGTGATCCATGTGCAGAGAGGCAGGCAGGCTGTATCATGGTCACTGTTTTGGTTTTACACCTCACTACTGATGAACGTGAGCCATTAGACTGTGACTAACACAGTTACGGATTTCAGCCACACAGTATCTTTAAGCACAGCTATCTGAACACACACCCAGAGCTCTTTTAACTATTCAGATGGGATTGGAATGATGCTTTGTTGTACAGCTGAGCAGTCAGCTCCTGTAAGAAGAAAATGGTTAATGGCTCAAGTGAAAAAAGCTACCCAGTAACCCAGGGTTTGGAAGTTTGTGGTACCTGCTTTTGGCAAGGACTGTGTGCACCATCCTTTCATGGAGGACCTCAAACCAAAGATTCCAAATATACAGTAGAAAAAGGATACATTTGCAGCACTTATCTGTAAACAACATCAATTAAAATATTTTTCTCAGTTTCAAATGTCATAGGAGAAACAGACAAAGTGTCTAGCTTCTGTTAAACTTTTCTTATATTTTCCTTGTATGTGTAATTTTGGTGCTGTTACCTTGAAAAAAGATTGATTAGCCATATTTACTGTGGTCCAAATGATTGAAATAATACCCTCTATGTTACTTACAGCTTTTCCTTCCACTCAAAGTGGACACAAAAAAAATTTTCTACACTTATAGGGCTGCTATCAGTACTTGTCAAATTATTCATTTTTAAAAAAAATATTTCACAGCCTCAGAATGTAACATTTCAGCCTGTTACCTTTATCAACATTTCAATGTGGTTTAATCTTCTTCAAAAAAGCCATAACTACACAGTTATTAAAACATATCTCCCTTTTTCCTCTCCATATTCCAGGAAAAAAGCATCAGTGCAAGTATTTTGTTTTCCTCACATCAGCACCTTCATTATTTCCAGCTTCACTACTTACTGGAATAAGGTTGCTTCCTTAGTAGAAGGCCTGTTGACTCCTACTGGCATAAGAGACACTATTCTCTTCCTGCTTAGGAACAAAAAGGAAGGAAAAAATGGAATAGAAAACTCAAAACATTAAAACGGGATTCATTCCTTTCCCCTACAGACAGAACCAGAGTGAATATGTGATACAGACATTATTTGCCTAGAAGGTCAGAATGCAATTAGAATGATAATTCTGGTTAACAGGTTAACTTAGTTGATTGTTGCATGTAAAGCACTTTTTAGAGTGGGTAAAAGTTCAAAACCTTCACTTCGGATTCACAATCCTTTGTGTAGGTGCAGTAGAAACATGAAAAAATTCTTCTATGTGTACACAATTAATATTTTAAACTTGTCATTAAGCTAAAGAATGGCCAAAAAAGCACTTCATCAACTGAAAATGGTTAAAAATTTCAAGCTGCATTTAAAAAGTAAAGTTTTTTCCAAGCCCATGTGAGGTGTGACAAAAGCAAAAGGATAGATAAGATGGTTTTCTCAGCCACTGAGGAGATGATTTGGATGAGGGAGGCAATAATAATATTCTGCTAGAAAGGAAAATGAGTTTTCAGTAGAAAAAGGAGGGAATATATTCTAGACAGTTAATTTAAAGCAAGTGACAAAGACTGCACAGCTTTCTGCTGTCTCACTCCTCTCCACTCAGCCTGGGGAACCAAAGCTCTAGGACTTTCTCAGGGGTCATAGTCTCTGGAGAGCAGGAAAAGCAGCTGGTTATGGCTGACGAATAAGCCCTCCATGACAACATCTACTCATAAACTCAGCACTGAGACTGATGGCGTCACTTCTTCAAGGCAATTTGGACTCACTTAGGATGTTTTTTACCCCTGACTTAACTGACAGCTTCCCACATGAAGAGCTAGTGAAGCAATCTGAACTTCAGCTGGAGTTCAGACTGTGCTGGCACAGGGTTTCTGTGACCTTTGGGATAGCCATAGGCTTCAGGAGATGAATTCCTTTGCATAGCCAAACCCTGTGTCCACGGTTCCTCTGGACAATGCAGGTACAATTCAGGCAAAGGGACAAAGGATCACAGCTTTCCCTTTCTCTATATGACAACAGCTTATATAGAGGAGCATTTGATTTACTGTCAGGAAACCAAACTGTCTAGATTTACCCCATTAGTATATTTAAATGCTTTCCTGCCAACACCTACCTGTTAGTCATTTACACAAAATTCCAGGTACATTCATGGTGCCTACTCTCAGGATGCTCTGTAGTCACACCACAGGAGAAAGCTGCACTTACTTGGCAACTCAGTATGCTCAATCCTTCCGATGGTTTTTCACCAAATTGATTGGGAAGAGTATTTTGGAGCTTTTTAAACATAGTTCCTCAATACAGCTAAGCCAGTCTTAGGGCAACTCTACAGCTAATAAATCAGTGCAGGTCTCCTAGTTCTTTTTCTATCCCTGGCACTAGTTGTTTGCAGTTCTTTCCTTAGCATAGCCCTGGCCAATACTGGCATCTTTCTGGTGCACCAATCTGAACTGGGAACGTCTCTATGACTCCTATTCTCTATTTCAACTAGCTTAGTAGAAAACAGGAATCTCCAAACTGCAGGGGAACAGAATTTCCTGCAACTTTGCAGCACTGTGTACTGTTTGCTAAGTGCATTTTGATTCTCTGGTGTTAGCATTCAGCTGACATTACTGGGGAGGTTTCAGAGTAGCCTTTTGGGGAGTAAAATATTAGAAAACAAATTACTTTGACACAGCCACAGCACAGCACAGTCCCAAGCTGAGTCCTGTACATACACATTGACAGGATGAGGACAGCACAAGGACTAGCTCAGACTATCTATAGCTCCCACACAACATGTGAGATTGGCCACGAGAGGATAGAATATCTGCCTGGAGTCATCCAGAACTAGTGCACACTAAAAAAATATAAAAAATATTTGAAGGTCTGTCCTTATCCTTTGTTCTTGACACTTTCAGGCTTCTACTCTACCCATGAGAATGTGAATTTTGGACTTCAATATTTGTTTAGAACCATATTCCAAATACAGAAGCATAAACAGAGCTACTGCACTCAATCACTCAAGTAGCTTTTTGTTGTTGCTATAATCATTGACATTTGTTACAGTGGACAGATTTTTCTAGGCACTACTCTCTAGTTTTCAGCCAGGTCACACACCTACAGTGAACAGCACCTCAGGGCATGCACACTTCAGGCAGGCAGGAATGGGGAGCTGTGTGACTGACCAAAGGTACAGAAAGTGCAGGTAATCAGCAACAGACTGTTTTGCTCCCTTACAGAATTAAGTCATTCTGGGGCAAAGTTTGTCAAAGCGGCCTCAGATTGGGCTGGAAGGTGGTAGTATAGACAGGATAAAGCTGTGATCACAGAACTTGCCTTGGAGTGCAAACTGAATGTGGATGAACAGGCCCTAGAAGTGGTGAACTCGTGCCACCTGGTGGATTCCAGCTCATCCCAAGAACAGAGTAACCCAGTCACAGCAGAGAGCAGTGAACAGCAGAACTGCATCAGGAAAGGAGGAGATGCAAAACTCAGGTGTGTTTCTGTGTCTTTCAGCACCAGCCGGCTGAGCGAGGAGGCGCGGAGCAACGCGCGCAGGAAATGCAGCGCCGTGCACAGCCTCAAGGACAGGTGGCAGGAATGGGCCGACCAACACATCATAACGCAGAAGCTGAACCCCTTCAGCGAGGAGTTCGACCACGAGCTGGCCATGGCCACGCGCCTGCACAAAGGAGATGAAGGATACGGCCACCCAAAGGAAGGAACCAAAACTGCTGAGAGAGCCAAGAGAGCTGAGGCCCACATCCACCGGGAGATCAGGGACATGTGCTTCATCATTGAATCCATGGCCAAGCCACGGCCCGACGGAAAGATCCAAGTCACTTTTGGGGAACTCTTTGACAGATACGTTCGTATTTCAGATAAGGTTGTTGGGATTCTGATGAGAGCCAGGAAACACGGGCTGGTGGACTTTGAAGGAGAAATGTTATGGCAAGGAAGAGATGATAATGTCATAATTACTTTATTAAAATAGGTTAGGCTATAACCGGAACAACTTTTGGAAAACTGTTCTCCCTTGCCATTAGCATTTGCACATTTTTGAATATAAGGCTCCCCCGTTCATCACATAGAAAACAGTATTTTTTGAAATATGTATTTCATAACTAGTGCATGATAACCCAAACATCTGAATGGACTTCATTTTGTATCAGAAGTGCTTGCAGGACAATTAAGTTAATTACTACCTGGAAAATAAGGAGAAAAATCTATATAGAATATGAGCAGCTGATGATAAAAGCCCATAGAAATATAAACACCTACAAACTAATTCCAACTTCTTGTTACATTAAGATATTCCCAGCCTGTTTAAACTGGAATATCAGGAATATGAAACATGCCAGATCAGAAGCTGAATGACAATATAAACTCAGAGAAAGTTTTTGATCAGAAAAATGGTCTTGTGCATGCACTTCCTAATTAATTGATATGAATACAAGTAAAATTACCTATTTTAATACAGAATCAAGGACATCACATTTGTTTTCTTTAGAAGCACAATATGTAACTATTACTACAGTATTATCTTATTGATACAACTGTTGACACAGCCTTCTCTTACATATCATATAAAAAAATCCTTCTTTTTATAAATGGGGTTTTATATATTCATTGTATTTATATAACTATTTTAGATTGTTTCATATTTAAACTTATGGAGGTTGGAATGTAATGAATAAAAAAGTTTTGATTAAATAGCTACCTAAAAAGTACTTTCTATGCATCATTGTGCAATGTCTCATCTGATTATCTATGCAGATATCGTTGTTATAAATACAGGGAAAAATAATATATAACATAAAAACTAGCCAGGTACTTGTACTTTTGTATACAGCAAAAAAAGTGACTAACATCATTATCTTCCATTCTGAAATGTACCTCTGTGAGAAAAGAAAAGGCACTCATAACGTTGAGGAAAATATTTTTCCACATTACACAGAAATACTGACCTAATTTTATACCACTTGCCATTCCAATGTCACTGAAATTATGTACTTCAGTCCAGGTGATGCTGAAGAAGACTAAATGCTAATGAACTAATAATACTAACACTTAAAATCATATTATTCACAAATCTGAGAACTCTGTTAGGTCTCTGCTAGTTACTGGAATAGAGAGGTCAGTTTCTCTACTACTGTAAAAATTGATGTCCTGGTAAAATGTGTGCACTTCACATGAACAGCATTTGTTTCAGAGAAGATGTCTGGGCAAGTAATGAAAAAGAAGTGTTTTATTTCCCCTTAAGTTTCTTTCAAACTGAAAGAGCAAATATCTTACAGAAGAAGAAGTAGAGGTGTATTAACGTTTTGTTTCTGATAGAACAAATATTGCTGTCTTAATTATGAGTTCAGGTACTCCAGTTTGAAGCTTCAATATACAAATAAACCAAATATTTTATAACTTAATGATAGAAGAACCGACTACTACATCTATTCTAAATCTATGTAAATCGTGAATACTTTAATAGTTATATTATGTGACTCTAGGGAAGAAAAAATTAATTGTAAGATGGAATCAGTGGAGCTTATTTAATGTTTTTTTGAGATCTCTTAGACTACTCAAGTTGACCTACAAAACTGATGTCTTAGTGTAATACTTACATATCATAATTTTTACCTGCATATTAACTTATTCTTTATATCTTTATATAATGACTTTTTATAGCTGTCTAAATTGTCTTGACAAAATTTTGTTGTCAAAGGAACACATGAAGTATAAATAAAACCTTTATTATTTCTTGGGTTTTTCTCCCACATACTAGAAAACAAATATTCTCTGTGAATATTCTGTGAAGTAAAATATCAGTAAGTTGCTTCAAAAAACAAGCACATTCTCCTTTTGACCTGCTGTTAAAATATTTCCTGTGAAGGTTTCTCTGTCCAAAGCACCAGAACAAGATTTCAGAGTACATGGCAACAGACTTCATACAAAACACCTGCAAGAAGAATACACACTAAAGGCATCTAAGTGTAAGTGAATTACACATTTCTTCTCATGAGAATTCCCATCCTACCACAGGAAAACACAGGAGCTATAACAATGTGATCACTACTATGTATCATTACCTCACTCCAGGGAACTTAAGCCTCCCATTCAGTCATCCCAGTGTTAAAATCTAAGCAAAATAAATCAAATTCTCAATTTTTTCCTATTTTCTCCATCAAATAATTTTATTTCCAATCGGATGAGAAAACCATGTGACATAACTAGTATTTTTGCTCATCCTACCCTCCACTATTTACCTTTGAGAAGGCAGTATCACGTAAAACCTAATTTCTGAAAATAATTTACCATTTTTTTTGAAAATAAATATTAAATATTGATGTAAGTTATGGTGTATGGAAGCATTTCATGTAGGCTATACATTTATAACAATTTTTTACATGAAGTTGTGTGACAAATTTATCTATGGTGTGGGAGATAATAAATCTGACCTCATTAAAAAACAACAGAAGTACTCCCTGAATTACCCACCCTAACTCTCCTACTATATACTGTGTTGCACTCCTGTGAAATTAGCACAAATTTAAATATTCTAAGTAGAGAGAAGATAAAGGTCGAATCCAACTTGATTAAAGCAGTCGCTATAAATTTTTATTTAAGACCTGCTTTCCTAGTTCTGACTTGCTTTGAAATAAAACCCTTAACCTTTGAGACAATGAGAAACTCTCAGCTACTCTCATGGTGGCTCATAGTTGCACACTATTTTCTTAAATACTGTATTCACTCCCAAAATGTTTTACTTGAAACAGAGCTCCTGAACTCTCCTGTCTGAAGTTAGTGTTGCTTTTGCACATCCTTGGTAGTAAAAAAAAATTCTAACTTCTTCTGTAGGAACTTAAATACATTTTTCCTGTTCTAATACAGCTATCATGCTTAAGTGACAGCATGGAACTTGTATCAGGAGAAATAAATTTGACTTCTACACCTTTGTATTTTTCCAAGTCTCACCACAGTTGCTGCAGTGATTTGGAGTGAGTGGAAGGTTCCCTGGACACAGCAGAAATCAGCTCCCTCCTCCACAGTAATTCCTTCTTTACAAGTGTTTCTGTTCAGCCAAGGTTCAGTAATTTAGCTCATTTTTAAACCAGGGGAAAGCTACTGAAATAAAATTAGCTGCAGTGAAGAGTATACTATTCATGGTGTATGTTCAATCATTATTCATCACAGAACAGACACCGGCAGGCCCTCCTCTCACAGCATTTCAGCTGCTATGTACACATTGCACTGCCCCAACATCTCAACTAAAGCCACTGCTGACACCTCAGGGCACAAAGCAGTTTACCACACCAAGTGTACATCATTCCCTCAGCTGGACAATCCCTCTCTCTGCTCCAGAAGCACAGTGCAGCTCTCTGTAATTGCAGAGGTTTGTTCCCTTAATTGAGCTCCAAACTGCAGTGACAACAGTAAAATATCCTGATGACATCTGCTCTTTAATGAAGGGAGAACTTAAAGTGAGATTTAAGATTCAAATATTGAATGAAGAATACAAGATTATTATTTTTTTATTTGAAGCTGAATGAATAGTCAATGTTCTTACTCATCTTCTAAGTGGAAATTTTATGCAGACATTCTAATTCCTGTACAAAAAAATAACTCCAAAAATGCAATATAAACAGGTGAGCAAGAAGATGCAAGCACAAGCCATATGTTATAAATTATGACCTTTTTTGCAGATTATACAAAAGCAGTAAGTAACACAGATAGAATTTAGAGCCAAAAGATGATACTTTAAGAAACCCATGTTTGGATGGATGGAAAGGAATTCTACTGCAGAAAAAGGATAATTGAATTGAAGGCAGAAGGGACATCAAGACAGTGCTTTTCATGTATGTCATACAGAAATTATCTACACCTCTGGTAATAAAATTCAGGGTGATGCCTAAATAAACATGCACTACTTTCTATAGCTCCCTTATGCAGCCAGTTGCTTCATCAAGTGCTGTCACAGTCACTTATGCTTTAAATCAAATGTCCTTCTATTCATTAACTAATTTAGCATTTTACAAGTATGATTGCTACTGTACTGCTTACTAAATACTATCCTTAATTTCCACTTTTTGGCTTCCTATTTGCTTTACCTAGATAGGCCCATACTTGGAAACATTCAGCTACCAAAGATTTTTGTGCACTTTCATTTAATTCTTCAAAGTTATAATCTATATAAAATATAATAAGTTTAAAATTCTTTATAAAATTCACCACTCCACCCTCTAAAAAACTAAAATATGCTTTATTTGCAATATGAGTTCAGAATAGACACTGTGCAATTGAATTAATGGTTTTGTCAGCAAGAATGATCTGAGACTTTTCCCCTCTCCCTCTTCAAAATAATTGAAGACAACATATTTCATTCCCATAGCTTCCCACTGGGCTTTAAAAAGCCCCAGAAATGCCAAAAAATATGAGAAAATCCATCCTATACATTCAGTTGTTAAATGAACAGCAAAAAATGACATTTGCGCTTCTACATAAATTCCACCTTCTAAATAAACTCCAACTCAAGTTTATTTTTACATATATTTAGATTTATTTGCTATACATCACTGTGAGCTTATAGTACTTGAAATCCATTACAGGATTTATTTTTTTTGTTGAAATAATCAGTTGTAACTCCACAAAGACAATAATACTGCTGTGGAAGACCAAAGGGGAGAAAAGCCATTTCAATTTATTTACAGTTCCTTATTTTGTAAACACTTACTCTACACATTGTACTAAGTTCTAATAAGGATAAAGAGATATACATAGAGACAGGAAACAAAGCCCTGTTTTTCTATTCATATTGAGCATTAGCATATTATAGATGAAACATCTGCCCTTTCTCATTACCATAGCAGTAAGCTGTCTTCCATAAGTTTTTTTTTTTTTTTTACTTTCCAGAAAAGTAAATATTTTGAAATATACAACTACGTCTACATAAGCCAACCCATTTGGCTTTTATTCCATTTCTAGAATAATTTAAAGTGCTATAAGCAACCCGTCAATCAACACTTTTCTATAATAACAAAACTACTTTAAACATTAATTTACAAGATAATATACAATGTTTGTCTGAAATAGCTGAAATTTCAGCACAAAGTCAGTCACTGTCACACTTAACAGCAATTTTTTTGTTCTTTTTTGTTTTGTTTTTTTTTTTGCAGAACATAGAATAAAAGCTTTGAAACAAACAGTTTTGTTGAGCTGTTATTGCCACAATGGCTTATCAAGTTTTCTACAAAAGTGGACAAGAGCTACTGGAACTGTATTCTAGCCTGTCATTTATCTTTTGAGGTCACATGACAGTAAGTTTGCATATTCCACAAGTCTACTGAATTACAATATTGTCTACCTATGATACATGATGTCATTTTAATCAGAGCTGGTGCTAATTGTAAATTTACAACATAGACCCCCACTCAAAAACATCACAAGTATTTTTTTTCTTTGGACAGGAATAAGCTATATTCTTGGAGCTGATGTGCTACACGGCTACAACAGTATAACAGTATATATCTGACACTTTATGTTGAAGAAAGATGCATCTGTTTCTGTACTTTTAATGCCCTACTATAGCTACAAATTGTTCACTGAGTTTTGCTTGCTTTAGCCTTTTAATTTTTTGGAACTATTAGATTCTTACATTCTCTTGCTATTTTATGTGTCTTTGCCACTTAGCTCAATACTGTCAGTATTTGTCCCAAACCTGCAGATCATTAACAGCATGTGCAAAACACTCTTTAAATACAATCAGCATGCAGCTACAACACGTATTAACTGACTTTTTTCTACACATGAACAAGAAACAAGACAAGTGGCACTGTTGACTTTGGATATCTTCTAACTTCACCACGTCTGTACTGGGATGAGTTAAGAAGGAATGCTCAGCTTCTCATCCATTTGTGGCACCACTTGAATAACCCATCATTGGTCTGGACTAATCTCTGCAGTGCTGCTGCCAAATACCCACACGCAGCTTTCTTAGAGGTTCACAGAGGGCAACTTCATTCACAGACATAATTTGAATACAAAAATAATAAGCTATATTCAATGAAGCAGCCCCCTAGCAGGATTGCAGGAAAGGTGTGTGTGGGAAACCTGGGAGGCAACTGTAATATGGATAAGAAAATTCTGCAGGCCACAAGGCTCAAAGAAACTAATGTTAATTTTTAGTCCATAAGATCAATATTTTGTAAAAGAGTCTACATCTTAGAAAAAGTATGACAATATATTACAGATGCAAGGGCATGAAAAAACATCAGGTATTTAAAAATAATAACACTAATGGCCACACTGAAAAATTAGAAAAAAAACCCAAAAACAGATAAGTAAAATACATTATATTGCTCCTAGGGATTTTTAAGCTGCACTGATTCATGTCAGGTTTGGGACAAAAACCTGTAGAAATAGTCAAATACTTATTCAAAAGCCCATATTTCTATGTCTTGAATAGTGAAGTCTTCCCGCTTAGAAAGTGTGTGATTCCCAAATGTTTTACATGAATGACTTCTTCCATGGTAGAGATCACCATCAAGCCAAAGAGCAAACTCTCCTCTGCAAGACAGACAATGTATTAAAGCAAAAGACTGAGGGAGTAAACACTGAATCTATCAAACATTTTTCATTCAAAATTTAAAAATGAGAAGGAATGAAAGAATTAGTTTTTAACACAAGTACCTCATTGATGTTAATAAATTTATACCACAAGGATTTTTTATTTTTTTTTTTACAATTTATTAACTATTTGGGAATATCCCTTTTGCAGATATTCTGAAACAAGCTATTAGAATTCCTTGGTTTTCAGCCTCTTCTATTTTCATTAAACAGATAACATAATAGCACTTTTATAGCTAAAGAGAATGCTGATAGCAAATAAGGAAAACATTCCAGAAGCATATACACCTGAACAGTGGAAAAAAAACAGGACAAGACAATGCATGATTTCTGGAGACCTTGGCATGCTTTGGGATGGCTCAGTTTCAATTCAGGCCTCTTCTAGTTACACATAATTTTCACATTTATGTCCTTCCCCAATCATATCTTGTGTCCATTCTGAATACAGGAAGACACATATGCAAGTCAAGCATGGAAGGCATCATAAACTTGCAGGGCTGAAACTTTATGCCACACTATGGGGAAGACAAACATCCTGTTTAAATTTTGTCAGCATCACAGGTTAAATATACCTGGCATGCTAAAGTTCCTTGGCTAGTTAACTGTTGAATCCATTCCAATTTTTTTTTTCAAAGGTGTCTAGACAAATATTTTTAACAGATTCTAATTGTAACTTACCCTCCTCCACCAAAAGCAAGAGAGTCCATGTCCCCTTTAATGAAGAACATGTTGTCTCCTGTCCATTTAAAAACCTACAAAAGAAAAAACAAAACAACAAAACAGACTAGCAAGTAAAAAGATCTGAACTTTTCCTTTGTGCAGAAGGGAAACCAACCATCAGTAAAGACAGACTATGGGTGGCTAGAGGCCAGTTTAATGAAGTTGACACAGAAAATTCAGGAAACATCTGCAGACAAAAATTCTCTGAGGTTTTACACTAATTAAAATAAGACCATTCCAAACCAGGTTGTCCTTGAGCACCAGAACTCTTACACAATGAAAAATACCAAGAAAACATGCTTAGAGTAGATGATATGCCCCTAAAAAGGATGTAGTTTGTGAATTTTCGGGCAGACACCTGGCAGAATTTAAACAGTAGAAAAACCTTAGTACAATTACAGTTAGGTTGAATATGTGCTTCAGCATGCTAACACTACCAATTCACTGTACTCTTAAAGATTTCACAAAAAAACCTAGTGTGATGACTTATTTTTGGGCCAACTTGTAATATTTTTCAGATTTACAGTTAGATTTATTCCTTAAGTATTTTAAGATCATATACTTGGGGAGGGAGCAAAAGCATACAAAGTCATTACTACTTACCTCAAAATCTGGAGAAAAGGTGAACATAAAGGTCTCCCCAGTGCCATAAAAGCCATCGCTCACTTTAAATGGTTCAGATGCTAGTGCACCAAAAACCTGTAGCAAAAATACATCAGAGCAAGAAAAACTTCAGAGAAACTACACAGAATCCAAGAATTTCTAATGAGAGTAACTGATAAATCACATTGTTAATACTGGCAATTTAAAATTCACTCTGTGAATTTCACTGTACTACCATGGTTCTGAGGGCACTGAGATGTGCTCTGTGGTACAATAGAAAGTAAGAGCACTCTTCCTCGATAGCAAGTGAGCACAGTAAGAAAAAAAGAAAATCTAATGGATAAAAACTGAACTCAAGA